GAAGGAAGGAAGGAAGGAAGGAAGGAAGGAAGGAAGGAAGGAAGAAAGAAAGAAAGAAAGAAAGAAAGAAAGAAAGAAAGAAAGAAAGAAAGAAAGAAAGAAAGAAAGAGGGAGGGAGGGAGGGAGGAGAAAGTAAATGAGATATATTATGGATGGATAGATGGAAGGAAGGAGGGAGGGAGAGAGAAAAAAGGAGAGGAAGGAAGGACATAAGCCCTGGCTTCAGAAGACTTTGAAGCAGCACAGCAATCTAGGGCTGGCCTACAAGGGATCTCAGAGGTCATCTAGTCCAACCCCCTGCTCCAGCAGGAGATCCATACAGAATCAAAAAATAGCAGGGTTAGAAGGGTGTGTGTGTGTGTGTGTATGTGTGTGTGTGTGTGTGTGTGTGTGTGTGTGACTGTCAAAACACCAAAAACAGGCCAAGTAGCTGTGTGGATGTCATTCGTAAATTAGAACACTTGCTAAGCAACTGGCCACTAAGCGAGGACCTGGTCATTAAGCAAGGACCACTTAAATTTGAGTTGCCAGACACATGCCACCTGCCTGGGCCTTGCCTGGGCCTCTCCAGGCCTTGGAAACTGGCAAAAAGCACTTGCTAAGCAATTGGCCACTAAGCGAGGACCTGGTCCTTAAGCGAGGACCACTTAAATTTGGATTCGCCAGCCACATGGCCACCTGCCTCCCCAGGCCTTGGAAACCAGCAAAAAGCACTTGCTAAGCAATTGGCCACTAAGCGAGGACCTGGTCATTAAGCGAGGACCACTTAATTTTGGGTTGCCAGCCACATGGCCACGCCCACCCCAATCACATGACCACGTAGCCATGCCCACCCGTCACATGACCACATAGCCATGCCCAATCAGCAAACCACTCCCACCCCATTCACATGACCACCAAACCACACCCACAAATTAGGCCACACCCACAGAACCAGTTGTTAAGAAATTTGAATCCCACCCCTGCTTAAAACGGTCATTAGGGCAGAGAACTGGTTGTTAAATTATTTGAATCCCACCACCGCTTTTAACACAGTAATTTTTTTCACTTTCTCTGAATGTACAACAAAAGATTTCTTCCCATTCTTTATCTATATAATCAAATCTTTCATGTCTCTGATCAGCAAAAATTCATTGTTACAAGGAATAACAACATAAATATTTTAAATTTCACCAAATAAAACAACTTTACACTTTTTCCCTTTGCTTTGACCTTTAATCTCTTTACATAGTCTCCTAGAACTTGATTTTGTTTCATTTGCTCTTTATCTCTATCAGAAAACCCTTCAAGACTTTAACAAGGTTCTTCTTTAAATCCAAGCTAAAAAGTCATCCATTGCCCTTCTGTTTTGTTATTTGTGTATTAGTTAATAAAGCATAAGCTGATTTCATTTGTATATCTAGGGTAACACTTTTTTTCCATATCATTGTTGTGATCTGTCTTTTTAGATACACATTCCAATCAGCCACAATCTCAGTTTTATCCAGAAAAGCTTTTCCTCTTACACAATCTCTGTTAAATCCAGATTTATGATAGACAATCTTAAGAATAATTTTTGAGTAAATTTTGAGCAAATATCCTTGCGTTTTTCCAAAGTTAGACTATTTTCCTCCATTGTGTATTAATGGGTCTCTAATCCTTTAATTATAATTTTAAGTTCTTTCTGATTCCCTCTAGTGTCCAACTTTCAAAGTCCCATCTTACCATATTTTCCCAATCAACAACATTTCCCATAGGAAGATTTCTTGCACTTAATTTCAAAATCTTCATATATTCTATACAACAAAATTTCTTTTGGTGAGGATTGAAGGAGAATCACCCAGTGTAATCAAAGTTACTATTCTGAAGGATCCTACTATCCAGAAAGCAGTTCACAAGCAATTTACATAAATGATTAAGAAAGGAAATTTGCCCAAACAGGACTGACAGTGACATTTGCAAAGGTGGGCACACCCTTATCACCCAGTACTCTAAACTTGTCTTACATTCTCTTCATGGGGAGCTGTTCTTTGGAGTGCTTGGGGATGATCCTGAGTCCTTTTTTTTTTTTTTTTTGTTCACAGAGAAATTCCAAGTTTGCCATTGCTTCTCTGGAAGTTCGGTAAATGCAAATTATTCAATGATAATAATACTCATCTCTAATGATCTAAGTGCTAGAGCCCACTGTAACTACATAGCCAAAAAGGCATTAAGAGTTTTTAACCTAATCCTGCGTAGCTTTTTCTCCAGTAATATCACACTACTAACTAGAGCATACAAAACATTTGCTAGACCAATACTTGAATATAGCTCATCAGTCTGGAATCCGCATTACATATCGGATATTAATACAGTCGGGAACGTCCAGAAATATTTCATGAGAAGAGTTCTCCACTCCTCTATTCATAGCAGAAAACCTTATGCCACCAGACTTGAAATTTTATACCAAGACAACCTAGAACTACGCTACCTTCGGTCTGATCTAAGTATAGTACATAAAATTATCTACTGCAATGTCCTACCTGTCAATGAATACTTCAGCTTCAACCACAACAATACAAGAGCACACAATAGATACAAACTCAAGGTAAACCGCACCAAACTTGATTGCAGGAAATATGACTTTAGCAACAGAGTGGTCAATGTCTGGAATACTCTAACTAACTTTGTGGTGTCTTCCCCAAACCCCAAAAACTTTAACCTTAGACTGTCTACTATTGACCTCACCCCTTTCTTAAGAGGTCTGTAGGGGGCGTGCATAAGTGCACCAAAATGCCTACCGTCCCTGTCCTATTGTTTCTTTTTTATTCGTATCCATTTCATGTATTCAAAACCATGCTTATAGTTATACCTGTTATCTAATACTTGCTTGACAAATAAAATAAATAAATAAATAAAATAATAATCAAAATGCTACACATAGGAAGGCAAGTCTTTCTTGAATGTAGATGGAAACTAAAGTACTTAATGTAGATTAGCAATTACCTTGCAAGTCAATATTTATATTAAAGCAGATTCCCAAAATCCTCAGCAGAAGAAATTTTAAGGGATCTTTACAGTATTAAAGGAAGTTAGTAAAAAATTGATGAGAAAGTTCAAGAAGTGATAACAATATGACATAAGCCACCCAAACAACAAAAAGGGTGCAGTAAATTTCAGATAAAATCTTGTCATAAAGTGTAAAAAAATTAAAGTATATGAGAATTCTCAAAGAATGACCAAACATTATAGACCTATAAATCTACACACAGCTGCAGATTTTTTAATCAGTATAATTACTGTCATATCTGCACATTGCTGAGTGAACATTTATAAACTTCTGAATTCATTCCTAGGAAATGACCTCCTCCCTCAAAAATTAGACTATCTACGAGAATCTCAGCACTTAATAGCTAAGAAAGTATCTTACATCCTCCAGAAAACTATCTTTATACCATTTTGATTATAATCACAGATAGAATTGTATCTTAGAAACCAGAAGAGAAGAGAATATGGTTAAATATCACAACTGTATTTATCTTTCCATGGATACTTTTTTAGAATTCAAGAGAAAGTAACACATACCAAACTGTAAAAATAATACTGATCACTCACCGTAGTATTTCTAGTTTACAGACTTGATGTTGGAGTCCCTCACACAGCAATTCCACTGCTTTCTCATCTGTGTCCTCGAGAAACAACTGTAACTCTTTCAATTTCTGGTTTTTCTTGAAGACTTCAGTAAGATGCCTGCTGCAGGACTCTGTGAAAGACCATCCAATGAACCTGAAAAATGCAGCAACTATTCAGAAGAATTCAAATGATATCTTCTAGTTAGCAGTAATAGCAGATATAAAAATAGATGGTACAGACAATAGTAATTAAAAGCAATTAAAAGCAATAATTATGGGCATATAATCCACAGATCTAAAGTATCATGTGGTTAGATACAGACACTACATTAAAATATCCTATAAATAATATGTAGATTATATGTCAAAGTAAAAAATAAGTTCTAGAATGCAAATATTGGAGTTGGCACATTTCATGTGTTCAGCTGTAATTTAAAATGTATTCCAAATAGAATGAATTTCTAAATCTAATTTAATTTTAAAATAAGAAGTTAATTTAGACATCAGAGTATATCCCCACAATTTGGTTAGCCATTGTTCATCAAAGGATATCAAACATCATTTTCAATTTTTATTTTTATTTTTATTTGTTATCTATATTCCAAATAGAATGTAATTCTAGGCTTCTGGTGATGTGTCCCTCGCTTATGGACTGAAGACCGTGATCGTCCGCAACTTTGATCTTTGCTCTCCTGTCGGAGGGCTCCGATCATCCCGATTTGAGGCCAGAGCCACCCTGTAGGGGTGGTGAAGAAAGGGGAGATTGCCAGCTGGGTCGAGGGGAGCCATATCTTCCCTCCTTGGATTGGCAAACACTCCCCTTCGAAGACTGCCCCTTAAGGGGGGTGAAATATGGCCACCCTGAAGAGGAAGAGCTAACTGGGATAAGATTGTGCAGGAGCGGTGAAGAAGAGGAAGGCAATAAAACCAGGATAATTTGGCCCAACATTCAAATACAAGGTACCCCAGAATTAAAATTATAAGAATTTTAAAGAAAGACAATTAAAGCGGCAGACATAGAAAGTGAAGAAAAAAATGTTTTTGACAGCTGAGAGTGGCTTTGAACCGTGAAAGGAAGAAGCCGGAGGAAGATATTTGCTTAAACTGGATAAATATACTTTTGACACCAAACAGGCATAACTAAACTAAATTTGAATGTGTCAAAGGGAAAAATAAAAAATAGTAATTGATACCTGGTGTCAGCTTTGAAATTCAGCTGCCACATAATGGAAGGGGGGTGGAGGAGTTGAAAAGTTCAAGGTTATTCTCTATGTCGTACTAAGAAATTCCAGTTGCAGTTAATTGGTTCTCATGATCTATGAAGTGTAGAAGTGGAAGGAGAAAAGGTGGATTCTGTGTAATCCGCAAAAATACTTTCACTTTGGGAAATGGCCTTAGACGTACCAGATCTGTTCCTAAATAAACCAATTGGAGAGAATATGTCTCGGAGTGATTGATATCATGGAGACTTTCTGGATGCCTTACATTTATTTCCCAAATCTACTTTTATTTTTTGAAGGGGTTTGGCTGATACCCCAGAGGTCTTTTCCCAGAGATGGAGAAAGATCAACAATCAGCGAAAGTTGGAGATGTGCAGGAGGGAGCATGTGGGGGCCCTCCCTCCGGAGCATTAACTGGATCTGCCAGCCCTTGTTTGGAGGAGATGATGGATGCTTTCAGAATGGCAGTAGAGGAAAGAGATTTGACAGCTATACTGAAGCATTTCAACTCAAGAAGTTGTTATAACCCAGAGGTAACCCAGCTGTCTGAAGAGAAATCTTTCTCTAGCCCCAGGCATATTGCTATTCTTTCAGATTGGAGGGAAGAGAGACAATTGGAGTCAGAATTCTCTCAAGAAGACAAACCCAAGATTTATCCTGGTAGTCCATCAGAGGCAGATTTACATCAACAGTTCCAGAATTTAAAGGTGACAGGCTTGGTCTCACAGTCTGTGTGGATGGGTGGAAGCTTGAGACTACCTATGTTCACTTACCCAAGTATCGTGAGGGATGAGGAGATTATACAGATGCCAGTTGGAGGAGCCCAGCAAGGAGCATCAACTGACAAAGGTATGTTGCAACCTTCGAGGCAATCCCCTCATTTTCCAGAAGGAATTTTGCCCCCTGCAGAGAGTATCTCTCCAGGGTGGGGATTTTATCAAGGCCAGGGGTGGCTTCAGTGCCAATGGCAGCCAGCACCAACACAGCCCTGGTCTGAAGGGGAGTTGCCCAGACAACAGACAGCAGCCACTTCCCCTCCACCTGTCCAGGGAACCAGGCCATGCCCATTTTCCTCCTAGCAACCACAAATGCAACCCCAACCTGCAGCGAGGCCACAGGTACCCCTATTCCAGAGAAGCACCACCCAACCAGGCTTCAGGGGGCCTACCCAGCCTACGTACACCACCCGGCCGGTTCCTTTCATTCCAGTTCAACCTGCAGGGGCCTGGCATGTGCCACCTCCCCAACCATGACCCAGGCTGGACCAAATACCTTTAAGGCTGTATTTGATGGCCGCTATGAACATTTCAATTACTTCCTCACTCGAATCCGATCATAGAACAATTTGGAGATCAATATGCCACAGAGCATGAGTTGGTTACGACCATAACAGATGGGATGAATAAAGGAGATGCTTCAGACTGGGTGGCCCAACTACACAACGAACAAGCCCCGGAACTACATGATGTAAACAGATTTATTCAATTGTTAAGACTCAGATTTGAAAATCCAGACAGGGTAGCAGAGAATGAAGAGAAGTTAATGGAAATGAGGCAAGGCAAGCAACCCTTGTCAGAATTTATTTGGGACTTTAGAAGTGTCGCAAGCCACCTCATGGATTGGCCTGAAAGAATGACTTTACACTACTTTGAAAACACCATTGATCCAGAAGTAAAGAAGGCCTGTGAAATTAGGGGAATCCCAGAGATCTTACAATCATGATATGCCGCCTCCCTTAGCTTAGATCACAGCATCAACCCACACAGGAAACCTCTTCCAGCGGCCCCGCCTAAGAGAATTGTGGCTAGGAGACTGCTGACCGGACCAGCCAAAACTGCTCATACCTGACCCACCAGGGGGCTGAAATGTTACCACTGTGGCCAAGCCAGCCATAGAGCAGCAGACTGTCTGGCCCCTACTCCTGTACCACAAGCACCGCAGTCAAAGTCTAATCCAGCTGTTAGAGGTCAGAAGAATCAAGGAAGACCTCCGAGCATTGGCGGGTTTGCCAAACGCATGCTGGGAAAGCCCCCTCTGTGCAGATGGGAGCAACAGACCACCAGACTGGCACCAAGTCCCTGAGAACCCGACCTGAGAAGATGACCCAATGGTGAGTGATCCCATCATATCTTTTACAGTCAAGGTCAAGTTAGTGGTACCAAACACGGGGGAGGCCGGAGAGCTAGACGTTGTCATTGATACTGGGTGTTCTAGATGTCTTATCGGACTCCCTATCGTTGAACAATTGGGCATAAAGGCTAACCTGCTAAAACGCCCAATCAGATTTGAGCAAGTGGATGGAACCTTAATTGGGGGGACCCCAGCAACCCAAATGACAGAATTGATCAAGATGGAATTACGGCCTCATCGCAAACTCATATGCTTCATAGTGGCCCTCAAGATGTCAGAATCAATCATACTGGGACTTGCTTGGCTAGACAAATGGGCCCCGATGATCAAATGGGAGGATGGATTCAGAAAAATCCTCATTGGACTGAGCCCATTGCCCCCTCTTCTGCTCACTACAAAACCACCAATCAGCTTGAACCCAGAGCCTAAGCCAGCATCCATAGCATCCCACCTTCTCCCAGATAACCCCCAGGTACCTGACCAATACAAAGACTGGGCTGAAGCATTCAGTGAAGAAGAGTGTTATGTTTTACCTCCCCATCGAGCCACTGATTGTGCCATAGAATTAGAGCCCAGGGCAAAATTACCAAAACCAAAGATGTATTCCATGATGCCTGCTGAAATGACTGAATTAAGGAAATACATTGACAGCAATTTGGAATGAGGGTTCATTGAGCCTACCAAATCAAGATTAGCTGCCCCCGTGTTGTTCAAGGAGAAGAAAATGGTGGGTTGACACTGTATGTTGACTTTAGAGGCATGAACGCCATATGCATCAAAAACATGTATCCTCTCCCCCTTATGAAGGACTTATTGAACCACCTGTCGAAGGGCAAGGTACTCACCAAGCTAGATCTCAGGGAAGCTTACTACCAGGTCCGCATCAAAGAGGGAGATGAGTGGAAAACAGCTTTTAACTGCCCTCTGGGTGGCTTCCAATTCAAAGTCATGCCTTTCAGACTTCAAGGGGCTCCTGCAGTGTTTATGCAGCTCATCAATGAGGTGCTACGCCTGCACCTTTACCGGGGGGCACTCATATGCCTGGTGACATCCTTAACTTCAGCGAAACCATGGAAGAACATATTCAATTGGTCTGAGAAGTCCTAGAAAAACTTCTAGCCGCCAAATTATATGTGAAACTCTCAAAATGAGAATTCCATAAAGAGTCGCTGGACTATTTAGGCTACCAAATATCCAACATGGAGATTGAAATGGACCCCGGAAAGATGAAAGCAGTGCTGGACTGGCAACCCCACAGAACCCAAGAGGAACTTCAAAGTTTCTTGGGGTTTGCCAACTTCTATAGACAATTCATTCCATCCTTTGCTGAAGTTGCCCTCCCATTAATGGAGCTATTAAAAACGGGCCCATCATCCACCAAACTGAAGCCAAGTCAACCCCTGGCTTGGACTATGGACTGTCAGAAAGTTTTTGAGACCTTAAAACGCCTCTTTACAGCTGAGCCTATCATTCAACACCCAGACACAACTAAGCCGTTTATTGTCCAAACGGATGCAAGTGATGTAGCGATGGCAGCTCTTTTGCTGCAAAAAGACTCTCAAGGCCGACTGATGCCTTGAGTTGATGTGTCCAAAAAGCTGACAGACACAGAGCGAAGGTGGGCAGTCTGAGAGAAAGAAGCATTTGCTATATGATGGGCTTTATTGGATTGGAGGCATTTTGTAGAAAGAGCGCCAGAGGCCTTTGGGATATGGACTGATCATAAGAATCTCGAGGCTCTAAAGACCCCAAGGAGATTATTACCCAAACAAGTCCGCTGGGCCCAATATTTCAAGCTATTCAA